AATGTAAAGAACGTAGATTTAGTGACTGTAAATAAGTTACTTTTTTTTCAAAAAAAGTTTTACAAAAAATTATTTTTCGTTTTGTTGCTATATTTTTGTTTGTCTATGATATCTACTTGTGTGCAGTAAAATATCATTATATTGGTAGCATTTTTTAATGTTTACACTTTTTCTCTGTAAAACTCGAATATTCAAAAATTAATAACTTTTATCTAAATTGTTAATTGATCCGAATTTTGGCCTTAAACTTTGAAACAGAATACAAAATATGAAAATTTAATAATTTTCATCAACTTTGTAGTATTTTAACAAACTCTCCAGAATATTCTTAACATAGATACGCGAATCAGAATGCATCCGTGCGATTCGACAAGAAGGAGTAACTTAACGTTCACGTTGCTACGCACGTGGCAAAATATTAGGAGGAACCTTATAAATATAACAACAACTATACGTAAGTGACATTCGTGCATAGTATACATTTATTTTCATTAATTAATGAAGTTTATTTAAATTTTTAATAAAATTAAATTAATAAGTAATAAAAATAAAAATAAATTACATTTTTTGCATTAAATGTTAATAAAAGTGACAGAAATTTTCTACAATATTGTGCTTAATTCATTTCATTCCGTCCATTCATTACAAAATAGTACCTAGCTCTTTAGTTTTTCCAACTTTCTAATTGCCATCATATGTACAGGATGTTCCATCAGAAATAAGACATTTAATTATGTCTTTACTTTTGACAATATAAAACAATATTTCAGACATAATTTGAATGGCTTCAAAGAGCGAATATAATGATGTAAGCAAAATTTTCATTCCAAAAGTCATTTCTTCCAAATTTTTAAGGTCATCATTATTTTTTTATGTAGTAGTACATAATTTTTTTCTCTTGTATATTGTAGCTGATAATATATTCAATTACGTATAATAACATTGTTCTATGAAATAACTTTGAACTTTAAAATTCAATTATAATTAAATAAAAAATATATTAAAATGCTAAATTTTTCTTATAAATACAGAATGCTAATTTTTCTTATTAGTATAACTGTTCAAAATGATGGCTTTAAGTGGTAATACATTGCTGAAAACGGTTAATTACTAAATGTAATATTCTTTCAACACAGTTTCTGAGGTTTCAATAATTCTAAATATCTGTAATAGATAATAAACATCAATCGTAATATTCTGTATAGACACAATAAACATGTGTAATTAATGGAAACTAGTCTGTCCGCTATTTTATTAGTTTGTCGACTATTTCACCATGCTTTACTTAAAGAAAAAATTAATATGATTAATATGATTTTCATTTACGGTAAAAGTCAACAGCGTTTAACGCAGTGCAAAAAGAGATTTCCTGCAGTACAAAAAAGATCGTGATTATCTGTCGTGTTCTGTGTACGTATGATTCAAAAGTGAAACTGGGAATGTAGAAAATAAAAAGCCTGCAAAATTTAAAGTGCAAAACAAGTGAAATAAAAATTGCGGTAGTAGTAAATCTAAATCCACATGTTAGATTCAGACATATCAGACAACTTGAACGAAAAAGTGGCATTGGCAGATCCAGCATAATGCATAATGCGGATACTTCGTCAACAAAAGTTGTATCCGTTCCATTTATCTTTTCATTAGAAGCTTTATGTATGGGAAACAATTTTTCACATACATAATTATACATAAAATATGTTTATATACATTTTCTTTCTCTTGTATATAACCTCTATTCGTATATATACACAAGAAAAATAATAAGAATAAAAAAATTAAAAGGACAATTTTTGCATTGTATTTGTATCTTAAAAAAGATAAAATTTGAGGAAATGAGAAAAATTTCCCATGTACTTATAATCATATATAAATATGTATTACATATGTAAATATGTAATAATCGTATATAAAATGTGATTACATATAAAATGTGGTTATATATAAAATATTGTAGGGTTGTGTGGGATGATGTGCAACATGGGGTGATATGCAACGTTTCCGATTCCTGGTCTGCATGTCGACATTTGACAGAACCGCATACTGCCATCTATTTGTGTCAATAGTACCTTGTTTTAGATAAATAACTCGCGAGATGGCACGCACCCTGGTTTGCTGTACGAAAAGCGAGTTAAATTTCTCGAGCTCAATGTAATTTTCGCTTTTCACATTCATAGTGATTTCGTGACGTGGTTTTAGTCATCTTATAGGTAAATATTTTTATATTGTTAGTTTTTTAAGTACTTTTGATAATCCAAAGCGATTTTGTGATTTTCTTACGTTGTGTTGGTGTCACGCCAGTCCGCGCAAAATAGCGTGTTTGGGGTGATGTGCAACACTCATTTTTCGCTAGTTTATCGCTATTTTACGATGGAACATGTGTATATGAAGTGTTTTAATGAATTTTTCAATGTGTTTAGTCATTATGCCACGAAAGTATAAAAATAAGGGTATCGCTATTCCGGTCAATTGCGAGCTAATTTGGGCAGCAATAAAATTGCTGAAAGGCGATCATCCGGTTGCGTTTTTCCTTTCATTATATTAATTTTTAAGCGATAAATAAATAAGAAATCAAATAAAAAATGATTTTTTTGTGAAATTTCCATTTGTCAGAGGTCGATTACAATACAGTGAAATTTTTTGTTCACCAGATTTCGATTAATTTGTATTTAAGAAGCCCAAATTTAACATTTAAGTCGATTGATGTCGATATTCATGCATTTTTTACCTTAATTTTACCTGTGTTGCACATCACCCCAAGAAAATTTGAAAATGCTAAAACAGACGTTTTTTTTTAAACTCGAAAAATTTTTAGAAAAAATTTAAAATTTTGAAAATGTAATCACGCAGAATTGTAGTATTTTCCTTCCTTTACATTATGCAGCCATGAAATATTCAAGAATTTGATTTTTGGATATGTTTTCCGAGCAACGCGTGAAAGTGTTGCACATCACCCCACATAACTCTATAATCTAATCACAATTTTACTTTTTATTAAAAAACAATGCAAAAATTATTATTTTTCTAATTATTATTCAATTATTATTACTTTTATTTTACTTTTCTATATACGGACAGAGATTATACAAGAGAAAGAAAACATATAGATATATTTTACATCTAATTATATATATTACATACATATTTTTATATAAAAATATTTTTACCGCCAAGAGATATCCCTTTTATGTAGCTATCCTTTTCTACAATTTTCTACAAATATTTGCTCTTTAGCTATTTCTACAAAACAGCTCACAATCACAAAGGTATATAGAACTGGTTTTTTCACGCATGTGCGTCAAATACGATTGTTTCAACACTGAGAAAAAAAATTTGTTAATCTCAAAAAATATTTAGTCCAATTCAAGCAACTAAACATTTTAGTTAGTTTGACTAAACATTAATTGAATTAATTAATTCTTGATTAAAAAATGTTAAAGGTTGATATGAGTGCACTATACCTTTTTTAATACAACTCAATAATTGTTGAAAGAACTAATATTTAGTTAACTAATTAACATGTTTAGTTGCTCGTATCAGACTAAATATTTTTTGGGATTAACAAATTTTTTTCTTAGTGATTATATAAGTTTTAATCAACAAAGTACTTAATTTTTAGCCATGACAAAATTGTGTATAATCTTCACATTATTTCTAAAAATTATGAGCAAGTTGAAAAATTAAAACAATGAAGTATAGTAAGATAAAATTTTGTTTTACAATATGTAATTTTTTTACTACAAAACATACAAACAGCTTTATTTGATTCGAAATGGGAAGGCAATCATCCTTTAAAAATGTCTTTATTTATCTACGAATTTTGAAATAGGTACTTCAAATTTTTGCTTTTTAATAAATATTTGCTCTTTAGCTATTTTAGATACTTGGATCCACATTACACAAATATTGCACACAGCACAACTCATTAATTTATTTACGTAAATGTTTATCGTATTTTTTGCGAGGTCTCATCAAAACTGTGATATCCAATAGGAATGTGACCTAAAAATCGATTTTTGAATGATTTCTAGCAATTCTTTTGAAATATCTTGCCGCTTGTTGAACTAAAAAAATATTAAAAAATGCGATTTTGGCGATATTTCTTTTCTCTACTATTTAGTACACAAACTTTTTTTCGAAATTTGATCCAAAAAATATTAAAAAAGAAAATGCTATTTGCACAATTTTGCGACAAACTTACCAAATCGTGGCAAAACGAAAATACAGTCTTTTCTTTACTAATCTGTATTTTTTAATAAATAAATGTTTTGCAATCTGATATAGCATTTTCCTTTTAACTCTCGCCGCCCACTTGCTCTACAATTTCATAATTACTTATTTTATATTAAAAAAAGGAATTTTTGACATATAAAATAAAGAATTTTTAATGTATAACCATTTTTATTGAAATCAAAAGTAACAAAAAGTATAAATATTGCTATAAAAATAACTACTCGAAAGTATTAATTTTCAGCGAAACAGAAAGTATCGCTATCTTTAGCGCAGGGTCAAAAAAGACCTCATGTGGGTGCGAGAGTTAAACGTAAACAAATTAAATTTATTTACGTTTGTCAAATATTTTGTAGCAAATTGTGATTTACGCATCTTTACATGCGTATTCAAAGGTCTCACCTTCCCTTAAATACTTATACGCTTGCCACTGTTACGTCGCGCCTGCGCAAAAAACGGAGCCCGTCAATCGTTTGCGGCGATATTGCGTCAATTGTGTCAGTTTAAAAAGGTGCCTTTTCACGTTAACGCTCGACGCTCATTTTTAGCAAGTAAAAATCTTCAGAAATAATATCTTTTATTTATATATATATATCCATAAAATATTATTACTTGAAGATATTACTTGAAAATAATTAATATTTTACGTATTTTAAAGTCTATGTTTGATTGTACTGGGACGATTAACGACGATTCAGCGACGACGCTGAATATTAAACAAATTCAACTTCATTTCTTTGACGCTAGCGTCAAAGCGAAACCACCACGTTCACCTTGTTGACGCTCATTTTCAGCGTCTCATGAATTGGCACCTTAACGCAAGCCTGCGCGAGCCACTGCTCGGGAGACATCCGGGATTTTTGCTTGTTTTAAGGTATATCGCGTTTTCTTTCATCTTTCTTTCGCGAGAGAGAGCATTTATTCAGCCTTTTATCCGATAAATGAAACATCAGCCACATGTCATGTGTGACTTGCAAATATTGAACGACATTAAATAAATTATGTAATTAATCGCATATTTTTTGTATCAATCAATATTCATTTTGTATTCGTATGCTTAACACATGAAATTATACATATTTGGAGTGAATTGCGTCACATTGCGTCTATGTATTCGCATATTGTAGTTATCGATTAAAATACAAAATTGTATTTTTACTGATTTAATGTTATTTTGAACTGTCTTGTTTATTTTTTGACCTTATATTTATATACATATATAATACATATATAATTTATATACATAGGTATATTTATATACGTGGTCTGTTTAAGGCAGTTAGTTCGTGACAATACAATCTAAAATTTTATATTCCAAATCGACGTGAAAACACTGAAAACATCTGGCTATTTGCGGTTACAGGCTGAACACTTTTAGGTAGTTCTGTCCCTCGCACACAAAACAAAAGACTATTCTTTCATTTTTCTCCTCCAGTCGCTTCTTAATTTACGTCAAATAATCGCGAAAATCGAAGTTATTTATTATTGTATGTATTTCTAAATCTAAACGGTCAATAATTTTGGTTTCTTTACTAGTATTCCTAAAGTGTCCTTCTATACTATATATCCGTTTTTCATCGCTTTCTTAAGATTCGTTCTAATTATTAAAATTCAAAATACGAGATTTTCATGTGCTTTGTGCATGCATACATGAAAAAAATGCAATTTTTAATAGTGATTATCTCGCGTTCGTGACGGTCAATTACTTTTAATTTGTACAGACGTGCAGATATCACATTTATTAAGATATAGTAAAATTTTCAAATTTTTCTTATGAATTGATTTACGGACTGACTATATCTTAAAGAGTAATGAGACTGAATTTTTTTCTCAACAACTAGTAATTAACACTGTAAAAACGAGACTGCAATAGATCAAGAACTACATTCATACTCTACCTTATTCAGTTAAAATTTCAATTTAATAACATTAATACATATGTGCATGATTCTACAAACATTTGTATAACTGTATATTTGAGTCACGCGTGACAAAAATGGAACATAAGAAAATCGAGCAGCGTTATGCGACTACATTTTGTGTCAAACTCCAAGATAATGTGATGGAAACATTTAAGGAGGTTGGTTAATTGATATCCCGCTGCGGGGCAATCAATGTGGCAAGAAAAAAGCATACAAGTTAGATTTTCGTCACGTGAAATAATTTTAGCAAATAAATATGTGAAATGCATTCAATTGCTGTTTCTTAAGGTTTAAAAAGAGTTGTACAATTAAAACCCAAATACGTTATTATCCACGTTGAAATGTGGAAATAATAAATGTGGTCCCGTTTTATTTCTACAATTTCTTGATAACTATAAAGACAAATCATTTCAGTCTTCGAGAAAGTTCTTCTATAAAGAATTATTTGCACCTATTTTCATGAAATTCTTATCATTTTTAATATCCTTTCGTGAGTTACATTACAGGTTAGATAACATTTTTGCTGTGTCGCCCGTGTATAAGAGAGAGACAAGAGTATAACTTTCAGTAATTACTCGACAACCATGCAGCCAATTGTCTTCAACTTTGGCATGGACGACAAATTCCCATAGACGACCGATTCCCATAAACAAATCCTCTATAAATTTGAACTAATTCTTATCAAATTGATTTGAGTAACCACCCTCCTTAAAAAGTTGAAATAGACTTACAGAGATCAAGTTCTATCCCGAGCACAAGGCATTTTCAGATGGCGGTGAAATTGTGAAAATAAATCGCGTTTGGACTACTAATGACAAACAATTTGGTGATTCAAATTTAATTTAATTGATCACCAATCATTCTCACTGATAACTTTTTAAATGTTTCTCTGTCACGTTATTTTAATACAAACAGATGGATAGGACGCGGTGGACCACAACACTGGCCAGCGAGATCACTTGATTTAACTCCATTTGATTTCTTTCTCTGGGGATATTTAAAAAATTATATTTATCGGGAGTCAGTGCGCAATCGGGAAGAATTACACAATCGCATTGTCGAAGCAGTTGCGAGCATATCTCCCGAAATGATACGCAATGCGCATCGAAGTTTATTGCGACGCGCAAGATTGTGCATTGATATGAATGGTGCACAATTTGAACACTTATTATAATGTATGTACATAATTAATTTTATAAATTGTATAAATTAGCTACTCTAAAATAAAATTAATTAATAATTAATTGTAACAATTAATAAATAATTAATTTATTTATTATTTTTTATTTTATTAATTGTTTCTAGTTCCTCCGAATTATTTTAATCAAACATTTAAAATGTAGGCATTTGAATTAGATTTATTTTCATATTAGCAACAGTAGCTGTTAATTTTGTTAAATAATTGTAAGATCATATTATTTGCTAACTACGTATCTACTGTTTGATAACTACAGTTTTGTCTGTAGGATATGAAATTGATAGCAGATTTATGAAAGAAATGTCATCTGATAGCTTGCGCTTTATGTATCACGTAAAAATAAAAAATGTGCATTTCCAATATTAAGAAAAATAAAATATTATTGCTGCACAATGCGTTTGCACAAATATCAATGAAAACAATCTTATCTTCGCATATGTAATCTGTATATCTACATATTAACAAGAGGGGCGACGTTTAGCTTTCGCCTTTAGCACTTCGCGTTGTACCACACCTGAGCGCGCCAACTTTAGACGGTCTGATTTGCTAACTATCGAAACTAAAATAGTTTTTTAATTATAAGCATTTATAGTTAGCGAATCAGACCGCCTAAAGTTGGCGCGCTCAGGTGTGGTACAACGCGAAGTGCTAAAGGCGAAATATATATATATATATATATATATATATATATATATATATATATACTCAGTCTCAAAAAAAGCGGTACACTAAAAATGTAGGAATAATTTACCAAATTTCAAATGATCATAACTTGGTAAATAATAAAAATAAAAATATTTTTAAAAATGTAAAATAAAGCTTAAAATGTCTACTTTAAGAATATTTGAATGACAATAATGCTTAGCCATTTTTTTCAAAATAGCGGATGACAAAGTGAGAAAATGCAAAATTGATGATCAAAGGTCCAAGTTTGGGACGGTGCACGGAGTGAATCAGGCAGCCCACAGTGGGACAAAATGCACCTGAAAGTATTGAGCGTTATCTTGAAAATCCCTCTTTACCGAGCTCGATGCGATAATTATTCGCTGAGTCATGCAAATTAAAAAAAAAGACAGTTTTTTAATTCAATTTGGAATTAAATATGTATATAATACAGGGTGGACAAAATAAAACGTTACAGAAGTTTATCTCCAAAAATACTGTTTGTAGAAAAAAATGTTTTTAAAAGTTGTAGGGTTTTAAGTAACGCATTACACAGCAATGTCAGTATGACCTTGAGAGTCAAGGTCCCGTAAAAATTATCTTGAACTTTTTAAATGAAAACCCCCATTTTTTATTGCATATTCATGTAACTTATCTTGAGAGCTTTTCAAAACACTATAACAAAACATTTTTTATCAAATATTTTTTGAGTTATGGAATTCGAAAGTTACAGCACCGCCGGCATTAGCCAAGGGGGTGTGTGCGTGTGTGTGTGTGTGCGTGCGTGCGTGCGTGCGTGCGTGTGTGCGTGCGTGCGTGCGTGCGTGCGTGCGTGCGTGTGCGTGGCGTGTGCGTAGATGTGTGTGTGTGTATCCCACTGAGCTCGAAAGGATTAAACACTTGTAGATAGATCATAAAATAATTCTGAGTTATAATACACAATATAGTATTAGTACAAGATCCCGACTAAAATCGACCTTCACCCATCTGTTTTCCTAATAAAAGGTATTTTTTATCAAACATAATGAATAAACAAACAAATCGCTGATGGGTTGCCTAATTAAATCAGCTCAAGGTTAACCTTAATTAAAAATAATTTAATTAATTTTTTTTATTTTTACACTCATTTATATTCTCAAAAAATTCAGTACCAATCGAAAGTACAAAGCATAAGTAGAAAGGAAAAGTTAGGTTGCCTATCTTTTACTGCTCCCTATTACCGGGTTGCCAGGTATAAGCAGGTGAGTTGGTATTACCAATTTACACTCATTTTTATTCTTTAATTGAACTATATATTAAAATAAAGATAATTTTATTGCGAACACAGTTGTATTAAATTGCTTAAGCAAAATCGATCAAGACTTGTGGCTGTCGCGGTTTAAAGTCCGAATATTTGAGTAAGCGAGCGGGGTGCGACAGGAGAAGCGCTGAACGTACTATTCTATGCAATAGAATTTTTGGAGTAACTACACATTCATATACAGAGTGTCTGAGACCACGCCGTTCACCCCTTTTTTTCAAAAAATGAGCATTTTAGAGAAAAACGTTTTAGACAAAAATTGTATGGTTTTGAGGGGAACATAAGAGTGTCATTGATTTGACCTTGGGTGGCAATAGTGGCATCGTTAAGGTCAGGTCAAGGACACCTTCAGTTTCTTAAATAAAACCCCCTATTTTTTATTGCATATTCTTATAGCTTATGTTGAGAGCTTTCCAAAACACTATAATTAAGTATTTTTTCATTAAGTACTTTTCGAGTTATAAGGCTTGAAAGTAACAGTGTGACATAATATTTTGTTAAGTATTTATAATTTAAATTCCTTACTTTTTATTTTTGCAAACAATACGAATCAATTAATGTAAAGAATACACAATTTTCTTAAAGAAAAACTTGTTGTGTAACTGCTTATTGCATATTCATTATTTTCTTAGCTTCTCACGATTCGGGGTGCTTGATTTGCGTGAGTCCCCTTGCCTCTTACGGTTTTTGTTGGAGATACGAAGTGGCTCCACTCGAACTAACTGTCGCGACATTACCGACGCCTATCTATTCTATTTTCTGATACTC